GCAATTCCTTTCTGCCACTGGATGTCCCCCAATCTTCCGGGTTATTTCTAATGGCCAGAATGAGGTATTTATGTTGTTTTGGTTTTTGTGCGTGTGTTAATGGCCTACACATTTCTCTCCGTATTCCAACCACTAAACAGCAAATGATAGAACCTTGTCCCACGGCACCTAAAGCAACGAAATTAGTTTGGGGTGGAAATTACTTTTTTTTCTTTACTTTTTTTAGTATAAAGTAATTTAAGGTTCCCTGGCTGTTATTTTTATGTCCATGCTGAGAGCTTGTAACTTCACATATTAATGCTACTTAATATGCTCTTTCTGACAGGAGGTGCATGCGGAATTTGTTCAAAAGAAAATTAATCAAGATGCTTCGGACAGTTTGAGAGAAGTTGCCAAGGTAAAAGCATTAGAAGAGTGCGTGAAAGTAACTGAGGAACAGCAAGAGGCCATTGGTCAACTGCAGATGCGTCTCGATGATTGCGATTCCTTCAGGAGGTAAGCATGGGTCATCGTTTTCAGCAGTTGATGTGTTTTGCGTATTAAATGCTGTGTTAGGAAATCTTTAGAAAGTTTACTGGGAGATTCACATTATTAGAATAATGAAGCTGCCTCGTTTTTGGCATTCTGGAACTGAATATCACTACCTGTGGAGGAGACATTTTTCCCTCCTTGGAGATTTCACATTTTTAGTTGTTGGAAGATTGTGTCTAAAATTTCAAGATAAAAATGCCTCTTGCATTAAATCTGCTTCCATTTAACCATTGTGTGTCCTGATGTGTTGTTGCAAAGACTTGAAGGATTTAAGTATTGTTTATGATATATTTTAGCCGGGGCTAAAATAACCCATTCAACCTTACTATTCCCTTAATCAGTGTGGTCCTGTGTAGTATCCCCCCCAAAAATAAAATTATGTAAACCCCAAAAACAAAAATTAAATCTACACTGCCTGGCCAAAAAATTCACCATCTGGATTTCAGACAGTGTTATGATCTGGGGTTGCTTCAGTTGGTCAGGTCTAGGTTCAGCAACACTATACCCCCAAAATATGAGGTCAGCTGCCAACCTGAATATACTGAATGATCAGGTTTTCCCATCAATTGATTTTTTCTTCAATGATGGCACATTGGGCATATTCCAAGATGACAATGCCAGGATTCATCGGGTTCAGATTGTGACAGAGTGGTTCAGGGAGCAAGAGACATAATTTTCACACATGGATTGGCCACCGCAGAGTCCAGACCTTAACCCCATTGAGTATCTCTGGGATGTGCTGGAGAAGGCTTTACTCAGAGGTCCGACTCTCCCATCATCACTACAAGATCTTGATGAAAAAATGAATGCAACTCTGGATGATTAATAAATGTTGTAGCGTTGCAATAGCGTATCAAAATGATGCCACAGCGAATGCGTGCCATAATCAAAGCTAAATGCAATCTAATAAAATATGAGTGTGTGTGACTTTTTTTGGCCATGCAGACAGGGGTACCTAAATGGTGGACCATAGTCTGGATCTGGTTCTATCCGGACCTCTATCACCGACTAGGTAATGGCTGGCTGACCCAGCCCAGGTCCCCATTCCTCCTCAGTCATTGGCTGTTAGGACCGCAGCTTTCCCAGCAACCAATGACGTCAGCTATGTCTCCGCCCGGCATTAAGGGAGGGCAAAAGAATATCGTCTTCAGTCCTCCCTTGCAGCCTGAAGTCTACCCAGCACTTCCCATCCCTGGTTGCTGGCTCCTCCTACCTTCCCCCCAGCCTCTCTCACCCCCTCCTGGCCGCTATAGGCACCGCAGCTGGCTGAGTTGTGAGCCAGGTGAGGGTATGTCCTGGCTGAGCTCCATGTGCCCCTCCATCTGGTTCTCCATGTGTCCTCCCTTCTCCTGTCCTACTCTCCACCACATCCTCCATAACATTTTAATGTGACCGTAGCATTTTAAAGGGGCAGTCTAGGGACAAACAGTGTAAGAGGGCACTCTGATGGGGACACCTAACTTAAGGGGGCACTCTGATGGGAACACCTAATGTAAGGGTAAACACTGATGGGGACACCTAATGTAAGGGGGTACTCTGATAGGGGCACTCTAAAGGGGGCTCTCTGATTGGGAGAAATTATGTAAGGGGTACTCTGATGGATGCTGTACTTTTTTTTTTTCAGGGAAGCCAGCCACGATATGATACAACTGTATCACACTGCGCTGTGCCTATAGAACTTAATGAAATGTCACATGCGAATTTCAATAAAGTTCTAACAAAAAATAAGTGTGATGCCCCTGGATTGATGCATCAGCCCCTATGTGTTGCAGTGCAGCTCATGGTGTGGATGCAGCCTAAATGGTGGACCGCCGAGTAATTGTTCTGTTTGGACCCGCGATTCAGACCTCAGTTTGAAGAACATTTTGGTCACTGGACCTCTTTGAATTTTAAATTACTACCCCTGTTTTACAGCTTACCAGTCTTTAGATGCAGTGGCTGCACTAGTTTTTTTTTAAACTTTTGTTTCCTGTAATCCCTGGGTGGCTACACTCAACTAGTCTTGTCTATGGAACGAGTCCATGGTTGCCACCCAGGCTGCACAACACTACAAACATATCGATCTTTGTTCATCTCCATTACATAGGAATGATGGAAGTAGTAGTTTACAGAAGGAAGATTTTATGCTTCCAGCTCAGCTGACAGGAAGTGACAAGGACACTGCGTTTTTGGAAATATCCACAGGAATTTTATGTACTTATCTGCTTTTTCAGTATTAGTGACTGTGAAAGTATTGAAGCCAGAGACAGCAAGGTAACTAGTATTTTCAGAAGGAGGTCAGAATTTACAGCCTCTTTATTCCACTCAATGCAGGCTTCCTTTCATGCTTTGTGGATATTATATATGTGGAATGACTGACTTACTATTTTCTAAGCTTTGCATTGAGTATTTACTTGTTAGTTGATGTGTTCTTTGGAAAGTTCTGTATATAGTTGTGACAAATCTTGTATGTTTTTTTGTTTTTTTTTACACATATTGAAATTGCTATAGCTAGTGGTGTTTAGTCACATTGAACTGGACTTGTTCTGTAATGTTGGAGATGTTTTGTAGCTCATGCAAGCCACTACTACAGATCTGATGAGTGTTGGGAAAATACCCTGTTCTTGGACAATTAACATCTTCCTTTCCATGGTGATTGGATTAAGGTGTCTACACTCCCTGTATGGATATAAATACTGAAGTATTGTCCCAACACTTATCAGAAGGGGCTTGGATAAGCTACAAAACATCTTCTGCATTACAGAACAAGCCCAGTTGAATGTGACCAACCTACTAACTGTACAATGACCTGGATAAATGAAAACCTTCACAGACCTATCCAAATTGCTCTTTTTTGTAGCTTTAATTTTTTTAAAACTGGCCAAGAGACCGTTTGTAATTTGCCAATTATTTCTCACCAGACAACTGGAGACCGCACTAAGCAACTCGCCTGCCGATGGCAATGACCTACTTCGAGTCTCTGCTCTGCTAACTACAGTGGAGGAGAAGCTGCACCAGGCTGAAATGCTTTCAGATGACGGGGGAAGAGTTGTTATTTTAAATGAGGCTCAGGTAAGAATTCAGTGCCTCCTCTAATCTTCTGTCTGTGTGTTCCACTGCTGGAGTCTAGTGTAAAATTAGTAGCAGTTATATGTTTGAGGTTGACCTTTACGTCCTGTTTGGCATCTTTCAATTTTCATGTGAGATTAGAGTGATAAAATGTCTAATTTTCTAAAGCAGCTACTTTTTTTTTTTTCTCTTTTATAAATGTCAAACGATTTTGACTGTTCATTTAATCAAGACTCTACATATTGGTTTGTATTCTCATCTATATTGCTACATATACTATATATTTACAAGGCCCATTTACTGTAGCTACTTATTACTGTATGTGCAGCTTATTGTTTTTTTTACAAGGTGGTGATTTTTAGGCAAGGTTAAAATGTTAAATTACAATCCAAGTTTGTCTTTGCAATCCACTGCCAAGCTGCAGTGTGTACAGAGGCAAGGCCATAGATTGGTTCAGGTATTGACTACCACTCTGCGCTTTATTTTATTGAGAACTACCCTATTTTGTTTAATTTTTCTTTTACCAGTTTGTAATAGCCAGTATGATACCAAACTCTAGGTACATTTGTACTTGTTCCAGTCTTACAAATTTCAGAGATGAGAGGGGACACCTTATACAAAGTATGTAGGGTGAGAACACACCACTACCACTCCCCAGTTATGTAACCCATATATTAATAATAATAATATACAGGATTTATATAGCACCAACAGTTTGCACAGCGCCTTACAATATAAGGAGGACGTTACAGTTACAATACAAATCAAGACAAGATGGTAAGGAGGGCCCTGCCCATGAGAGAGCTTGCAATCTAAAAGTAGAATTCATACAAAAACAAATGATTAATGTACTTTTTTTCCCCACTAATTTTTCCTTGGCTTTTCAAAATAGCATTAAAAATAACTAAGATTAGAGGAAAGGTTCAGTGTAATATAACACTTTTAGTAGTTACAGTTCATTTTTATAGGGGTCTACATACATCAGACCAAAAAAGGACAACTGAGGGGTAAGGATGGATTTCAGTGGAGGCATTTTCTGGCATGTCCTGTATTAGGTGGTAATATAATTGTGTGCTGCACTCTATTTTGCGTTGTGACCAATGTAAGAGGATGGTGTTCACAGTGACAGCAGTGGATGGCGCCATACAATATCCCATTAGAAGAGGAGTCACCGGCACTCAATTGAATATTAAAAGGCTATTTTGTTTTTGTACGCATTGTGAAACATATTTCAAATAAAGCTGACTTTTGGGGGCCTCAGAAGTTTCCTTCCTCAAGGTGACACACTAATTTTGTCGTCTTTACGAAGGGCCTCGAAGCTTGGCTATATTTCACCTTTGTGACACAATTCGAATGAAAACACTATAATTTTTCATCTTCAATTGAGTGCTGGAGACTCCTCTTCTTTTCCTGTATTAGGTAGGTGGCTTCATGAAGGGGTTTTGTGCACAGGGGCAACCAGCGGTGCTGAAGTTCCCCCCTGGCCACGGTCCAACCAGGTAAGTATGCATCCATGGTGGGGGATTAGTTTAGGGTCAGGGGCAAGGGGATAACTGTACTTTATTTATGCCCCTCTCTGATTTTCTCACTTTGTTACTAAGTTGTTTTCTAATTCCTTGCTTACTGCCTCTTGAATGTCTCGTGAGCGTGCAGATACTGGCCACTAAGTTTTTGAACTGTTAGATGTTTACTTACATAGCTTTGGGGACATTATCTTGGAGGTTAAGGGGATTATCTTGGTGGTTCAGGGGCAAGGGGATAACTGTACTTTATTTATGCCCCTCTCTGATTTTCTCACTTTGTTACTAAGTTGTTTTTTCTGCCTTCATAGCTAATTCCTTGCTTACTGCCTCTTGAATGTCTCGTGAGCGTGCACATACTGGCCACTAAGTTTTCGGACTGTTAGACTTTTACTTACATAGCTTTTGCAACATTATCTTGGTGGTTAAATGGTTTAAATGCATAAAAAGTACAAATGACATGTATACTGAATAAGTAATAACTACAGATTTTAGAAAGATGTAGTACAGCTGCAATTATGTCACAGTTGAGCGGGTACGAAACAAAACATATTTTGCTTGATAGCAGCATTGGCAATGTGATGTATCCAGAGGGATCCAGATGACACTATAAAATAATATTGCATTTACTGAATAATTATGGTAATTCTTTCTCCGTGTTTAGCCACTGTATGATGAAATCAAATCTTACATGGAAGGTCTTTCAAAAGTTGCTGCCAAGATTCCCAGCACTTTTAAAAAGGAAGAGAAGGCGTTAGGAGCTCATTTTGAAGACGCCGTGGGAGTAAATGTGAGTCGGCTGCAAATTCCAAAATATTAGCAGTGATGTTTTTAATGCGTTGTAAAGGAGAAGCGAGAAGCTTAGAAAGCATGAGAAATACTTTTTGCAAACATATTTTGCTATTCTTCTGGGATTTAATTACACATTTATACACCTTGATATCTTCTCAAGAACAATTTATTCTCATTGTCATCTCCTGATGTTTTTTTTATTTTAGCCTGCTGAATTGTTATAGCCTACATATTTGTATATTGTAGAAATAATGTTATGTCCCATCGTGGGGGTGAAATAACCTCTGAATTATATCTGAATATGTTTATATCAGTTTTGTTCACACAGGATAATCATAATTTACCTGATGGCATTCCACCCATATCAGATACTAATAGAAGGACAAACAGAAACAGGGTCAATTCTGCTTAACAAGGCAGCCAACATTTTTTTAGTTTGGATAGAGTGGGGGTGTTAGAAGCTTCTGCTCCCATTCAGAAGATAGGGAGATTGAAAATTAGAGCCATGGGAAGGTCTGTCAGCCCCACCCCAAACTTTGAATAATGGCAAAAATTCGTCACCATTAAAGGAGAACTATGAGGTGTTTGTTTGTTTGTTTTTCACTCATCCTCATAGTTAGAGCTGACCTGTGACAAAGAAGCTGTCACAGGTCGGCTCTATTAGTCGGGAAGTGATCAGAAACATGCTGTCGATCCGCTCACTTCCTGATCGCCTCCCTGTAGTGAGTGGTGACTGTCAGTCACGGCTCCCCACAGGGATTCTTCCACCGCTGAGTGGAGGAACGAACGGGGGAGGGGGCGGGCACAACTGGCTCTTCTAGATAAGCAGAGGCCGCTGTCACTCACGCAGCTGGGTGGATCTCGACAGTAATGTCTGGATCTGTCCCGGCTGCGGCGCTGCCAGTATATAGTGAGTAATAGCTTGCGATATACTGAGCTTTGGGTCACGGGAGGAGGTTAGTGTATGTCCTCCTGTGACCCTAAAGAGAACTACGGGGAAAAACACTTACCCCATAGTTCTCCTTTTAAAGTGTTCAAGTTTGAACGCAGTAGCTGGCAGCGTGATATTCCTCATCCACACTGTTTAGCATGGATGGGGAATCCAGCAGTTTTCTCTTGTTCAGCCCTAAATCTGCTTGGCCAGCTTTACACAAAATCTTAAAAGGTATTCAGTCCATCCTTGGAATAGATGCATACTGGATTTATGGCAGGTATTTGTCTGTATGTGCATCGATTTTTAGAGCTAGAACATGGGAACATGTATGTCTTTTGTTGAAATGTACACAATGTTTGAGGTTTTTTTAAAATTATTTATGTTGTCCAGGCATGCACAATACACCCTCCTAAAGCAGTTCTTTCACTTATCAAAGACATTAATATCCCAGAAAGCCATGCCAAGTTTTGTTAGTCTAGGCTAGCTTGATATAAAGGGCATTTGTTATTTTTTTTTTACTTTGCAGACACAGGAAACTCAGCTGGTCATTGAACAGCTTAAACCACCTACCGGCAGAGATGTCAAAGAAGCAGAATCTGCCCTGGAGGAGCCTTACTATGCCCGATTCCAGCAACAGATGCAAGAGATCCTCACAAATATTTCACTTATTGGTGGAGATCAAGCAGAAAAAACCTTGGAAAAGTTTGCCAGCCATATTAAGGTACTTGTTTTTACTTTATGAACAATTTAGCCACATTCTAGGACATATTCAGATGGTGGCTGATCATTAACTGTACATGCAGATTCAAAAATCTTGATTTACAGATATGACCGTATGATATTTTCTGTAGTTTCCAAATATATAAACTTTGATAGATCATGTATTACCTGTCCATTCATGTCCTTACCTGTCCTGGGAGGCATGCTGTTATGCTGCCCACCTTTGGGATATCATCACGCGGGCCACTGGAGCCTTTAGGACCTATTTCCAGTGGATGGACAGCCAATATGATGTGCTCACATCACCAGGCAGTGATGTGGGTACGTGAAGAAATACTCTTCCGCTATGCATTCCGGACTAACTGAGGGACTAACTGAACGGGGACTACACCTATAATTCCAATACCAGGCATATAGATTACCTCAGTGTTCTTTATGACATGTGTAGTAACAAAGTGTTATAATACAGTTCCTTCTGGATAAAAGATACACTCTGAAAGATAATTTAAACACTTTTTTTAATAAAACAAAGAGGCGCTACAAATAGAGAAACATTTATGATTTAAATACAAGGATGGATACAGTACTATAAACAGAGAGCTATACAGTATCTTCATATTTAATATATGGATAAATATAGTGCTGTATGATATACAGTATATTGATAGGGATAAAAAAAACTATTTCTTTTAAAATGGTTTCAAATTGTATGTAAGCCCAAAATCTATTTTTCAGTATGTTTGGCAACATATCTCAGTGTATGCAGCTTTAGAAAGCAAATACTTTTTTGTGAATCTGTTGCAGTTTCTTACCTGGATATCCTGTCAGTAACAACCTTTTGCAGACTGACAACACTTAGCAGCAGTGGTGTCAGCCTGCGCTTCTTCACTTGACTGCTGGGTTGCCTATTTATTAGAGCTGATGCACAGCCAACTGATCGAATGAAAGAGTGCACACGGCAGGCTGACCACCCTTTTGCTAATTACAAGGCAGTGGCTTAGCGTTGTCAGGCTGCAACAGGAAGTACTTTTACTGGCAGGATCTCCACATAAGAAACTTTGCAATAGATTCACAAAAAATATTTTCTTAACAGAGACTGTATACAGTGCGATATAATGCCAAACTGAAAAATATATTTAGGGTTTACAAGTGCTTAGAAGAATGTGTAAAAGAAATGTGTTAAACTTTTTTACTGGGAAAGATGGCAGGTTCACCACTTTTTTAACTGAAAAAAACATATTATCATTATACTACGTTTTGTTACATGGAATGCAAATATAAACATTTTAGGTTTTTATAATGTAATGTTTTTAATCCTTGGGCTGCTGAAGGTGAGATCTAAGTAAGTATACCGTTATGGTAACATAGTGTTCTCATTAAACATTCCATGTAACGTTTGCCTGTTAATAGATCTCGTCACCCTACAAAGTGGAAGCAGCCTGTGTTTTAGACAGTACAGCTTATAATGTCACTAGTATCTACCACTATGGCTGAAAGTAGAACTTTGGGCAAAATGTAGAAAATTACAAATATGATGCAGTCTGCCACTAGAATTAACACAAGCATTAGCAGTTTTTGTTTTTCTGAGTTCCCCCTGTCAGATATAGTTTTATTACCTGTTAATCCTTTCAGTAGATACGTTATTTCTCTACCTCTTTTAGCAGGGTGACAACGCTGATCATTCTGCAGTGAAAGCACATAGCAGCGTTGTCACCCAGTGGGCAGGCCAGTCTTAAAAGTTCTCATGGT